GCTAATTATGTTAGAGAATCTTTTGTTGCTAAAATTAATTTTCTTGAGCTTGAATTGAAAAAGTCACAAGAAAATTTGATTTCTTTTGCTTCTGGGCAGATTAAGCTTGATAAGATGATTAGTGTTGGTAAGCATGTAAGTAATAAAATTGGATTAGGTTTTAATGAAGGTTCATCTAGTAAAGAGGATCAAACTGTTTTTGTTAAACCCAAGAACTTGAATGTGTCTATTGTTAAGTCTAAACTTTTTGTTGAGCCTATGCATGCTAAGATAGTGTCCAAGGTGCTTTATTGTTCTTATTGTGGTAGAACTAGACACGTCAACACTATTGTTATAAGAGGAGAAGGGATAATTCTTGTTCTGATTTTCATAGTTATAATTCCTTTGCACAAAATAGGTTTCATGCTAGAAAGCAAAGTAATTGAAATAAACCTAAAAATTTTCGTGCTAAAAGGAATTCACATAAGAAAAAGAAGGTTATTGATGTTCCACAAAAATCTCATCAAAAGTTGAAGGTGAAAGCTGTTTGGGTGAAGAAAGAGGATTTGAGGTTATATGTGCCTATTGATGCTATCAAATTTGTTTCCAATAGGTCATTGGGCGCAAAACCCCCAGAGTAAATCCTAAAAAGTTTTTATGGTCATGGACTATGCTTTGATGAATATCTTGTTTCCATTGGACCACGTCTTGTAGTTTAGGATTTACATTATTTTTCTTTCATAAGAAAGTGATGATCATGTTTTCCTTGTCAATACATGAGTGATAATTATTTCTCTTGAATTAGTTATTTTTGAATGCAAATTGGGGACATGTGATTATTTGAAGAAAAGATTCTTGATGTGTAATCTATATGGTGAAAGACAATTTGCTTTGTTTTTTTATTTTTATAGATGAGTCTCTTGAATTCATATCTTTCATGTGCACTATTACAACTCTAAAAAATTTATTTGAAAATCATTGTGAAGTTGACTAGGTCATATTGCTCATAAAAGCTATAAAGGTTATGGTTTAAAAAAAAAAAAAAAAATAGAGTATGTGTTTAAAAAAAAAAAATTGATGAAATTTCAGCATTAAAAGAAAAGGAAAAAAAATTCAAAAGAATACTGAAAATCTTTGCTAAGGAAAAGGCTACCTATTGAAATTAGATCGAAAGCTCCTAGACTTTGAAGAGGAGCTAATTGAGTAAAAAGAAAGGCAGAGACATGTCGAAATAGGGAATCTTTAGAGTGAAAGCCGCCTTGCTTAGTAAAATTTGCTCAAAACAATTTTATCTTGATATTTTTCGATCAATATGGTTTAGACAGTTGATCAATGTGATCTGATTGAAAATTGATGAGGTTGGATTGCACACACATACATATGAACTTTGCTAGACAAATTTCTAAATTTTTATAAAAATTGCAAGTTGAATTTCATGTTGTAATTGCATGCTTGAGAATTGATTTGAATCATTGATAGAATAATTTGTGATGTCTAAAAAATTTCATGTATTTAAATTCTCTTGAATTCTTCAGAAATTTTTGAATCTCATGTATGCTTGAAATTCATGGAAATTGCTATCTCATAATTTTTGGTCAAATATTAGAAAAATAATAAAAATAAAAATAAAAATTTTAAAAAAATCCAAAAAGATTTTCCTTTTAGTTTATATTAGGAATTTTTGTTTTTAATTGGATGGAGATATCATGTGTGTGATTTTGAGCATGATTGGTCTTATTTATCATGTGGATGGAACATGTGTTATCTTGGATACTTGTCTTTGGCTCCATTGCTACTATATATCATCATGTTTTTGTGCATATTGCAATATCTTATGCATGGATGATAGTTTTGATTACTCTTATTATTAATTCTCCCACATTATTTCTTTTCCTTCTTTGTTGAGCTTTATTTGTCAATTTGTAACAAAAAGGGGGAGAAGTGTGCATATTTTAGGGGGAGAGTTTCTAGAATTGAGGGGGAGATATATATATATATATATATATATGTATATATATTCACATATTGATATATGTTTATTGTTTATCTTTCTTGATTAAGCTTCACGGATAGTTTTGGAGAGCTAATGTGGATATTACAGGTTGCTACATGTGTTGAAGTTTCATGAGATTCAAGAAAAATTCCGCAGTTTATTTCTTTGATAATCATTGTAATTTGTTTTTTCTGCTTGGGTAGATTACATGTTGTTTTTAGGGTTTTGTCACGAAATTTCCAAAGGGGGAGATTGTGAGATATATATTTTAGGGAGAATGTGCAAAATATATATTTTGTATATTGACTAATTTCGTTGTCAAAACAAGTCCGATCGAGTTGTAATTTTTTGATTCAAAAATTCAAGATTGAAAATTGGATGCGAATTTGAAGAAGTTCAAGTGTTCATGGTTTACTAGACTCCGGGATGATGAGAACAATGCTTTAGGAAGTTTTGTGAGGTAATGAGAACACTTAGAAAGAGTTTGGAAGTTTTTTCTTGGAAGAAATACATTTTGTCCCTCTTGAACTGGTTCAAGAATAATTGAACAGGTTTAACTTTTAGGATTCTGAGAAAAATTCAAGTCTGGCCATCATGAACCGATTCAGCATCCTTAAACCAGTTGACTCAAAGATATCATTCGAAATACTTGCTGGCCTTCTTGAACTAGTTCAAGAATCCTGAACCGGTTCAAGGCATCCTGAACAGTTTGGAAACTTTTCTTTCTTGCTCTGTTTGATTCCTTTTTGGACTAGACTTCTTTCCAAGTCCTATGCACGAATTTTTCTATATTTTCAGAGGGATTGGGACATTCTAAACTCTATATAAACCTAGATAGTCATCTAGGTTTATTCACGGCTTTTGCATACAAAATTCAGATCCAAATTGAGAGCCATCTTTATGAGATTTTTATTCAGAAAATCAATCTGATTTTTTCTGATTTTATTTTTGAGAGCACACACGTAAACACGAGTGATTTAGTAGTATTGTTCTCTATCTCATCGGAATTGGAGCATAATTGAAGATTCAGAAATTCCGAAAAGCAGAATTCATTCGTTCTTCGTCAAATTCAAATATTGAAGAAAAGGGGTGAAGTAATCACACTTTGAAGGGGTCAAAGCATTCGTGGAGTGTTGTTTGATCTACCTGCAACTCTTCTACAAATATCAAGAGTAAGCCTGAGGTCGAGAGTTATTGGACGGGAAAGTCGCAAAGTCAAGGATTGTCAGCAATTGGTTTTTGGTAGAACGATAGGGTGTAAGCCTAAGTCAAAGTTCGGTGTACTTTACTTCAAACATAGTGGATCGTTTATCTTTGGACTGCACAGTCCAACGAGGTTTTTCCAGCAACAATTGGTCTATTCTACCAATTGGGGTTTCCTCGCTAAAAATCCTAGTATCATCTCTCAAACCTTATTTACTTTACTTGCACTTTATTTTTGCTTTGTGGTTTGATTTTAGTTTTGTTTCGGTAAAATTAAAATAAGGAAAAACTGGATAAAGGAGCAAGTTAAAACCTATTCACCACCCTATAGGTTATTTATCCATATTATATTCCACAACCATACCGCTACGCACAAACTCAACAATTTGTAGCCTGAATTTCCTCCTCTACCTCCATTTCCTTTCCCAAAAAAATTTGGAGGCTTACCATGAAGTTTCTAGTAAGTCTCCTTGGTGTGTCTATTCTTCCGGCAATAACTACACCAAAGGGAATCTTTATCAATCGGTTTCTTATCCTCAAATCTTCCAGAATTTGCAACATTGGCAGCCACGCCTCCTTCATTTCCATTTTTCTTAGAGATAGTTAGGGCAGAACTATCCACAAAATTTCCTTTTTCTAACATGACACTTCTACAGCCTTCTTCTCCCCTTACAATTGCAAAGGCCTCATTCAAGGACGGTAGTGGTTCTTTCCCTAGGATTTGAACCTTTACTTGATCTAACTCCATATTTAAACCCACCAAGAAATCAAAAACTCTCTCACTTTCAATAAACTCCTGATGCATTGCAGCACTTGTGCTACAATTTATTTTAAGATTCTGGTATTGATCTAACTCGAGCCATAAGCCTTTTATAACATTATAGTACTAAGTAACAGAAAGATTACCTTGCTTGGTGTTAAGGATCTTTGTCTTGAGATTGAAGATTTGTGCTGCGTCTCTCACTTTGGAGTAGGTTTGACAAACAGATTCCCAAATTTCCTTTGTTGTTGGGAGAAACATACAAGTGCGGCTTATTTCCGGCTGCATCAAGTTCCACAACCATGACATGATCTTAGAGTCTTCTTCATCCCAAGCAGCAAACTTAGGATCATCCTTACTCACCATTGGTCCAATGAGATGACTCAATTCCCTTTTCCCTTTATATAGGTTTTTACCAACTATGACTACTCTAAATAGTTCCCTCCATTGAGTTTGAAGATGGTTGATATATTCTGGAATTCACTAGGAGAAGACTGTTGGTTTGTGGACTAATTTGTAACAGAGGAGTTAACTTCTGATGTACCCGACATGACAAAGACGTAGGGAAGACTTGAATCTAAAGAAATGAATGAAAATCACCCTAATCAACAGGATGAAGGATAAAATGAAAGGCAATGAAGGCCAAATTAAGGAAATCTGTCTTGACAATGAAGGTCAAGATTGATTTTAAATGAATCTGGAAAATATACCATTGATTTTAAATGAATCTGGAAAATACAACCTGGGCAATGAAGGCACAAGGCACAGAAGAAAGAAAGAACACGATTATAGTAGCAAATTTTCGAGCTCTGATACCATGTTTGCATTCAAACCTCAAATTGAGATAATACTTTCTTACATCTTCTACATATAATGACAACATATGAATATACACAATTTTACAATCTCCTAATAATGACCGGAAGAAAGACAACTAAACTAATATGGAAAAAATCAACTAAATCCTAGATAGTCAATATTTACAGCTGGACATTTGTGTCAGCCTATACAGGCTGTATATCTTCTAGAAGTTGGCAGATCTGTGCCAGCCTATATAGGCTGGAAGTCTTCTGGCAGATTTCCAACAGTTGGCAGATCTGTGCCAGCCAATACAGGCTGGAAGTCTTCTGGCAGATTTTCCAACAGAAACCTTTGCCCCTGTTGCCAGATTAGAATCCACAAGAATGATGCTGTCATTTGCATGCTCACTGGGTGTCAAGGTATATCAAATGGATGAAAAGTCAGCACTCTTAAATGGAGATTTTCATGAAGTGGTGTATGTTGTGCAACCAGAAGGTTTTGTCCTTGGAAATCATCCTTCTCATGTTTACGAATTGAAGAAAGCTCTATATGGCCTCAAGCACGCACCAAGGGCCTGGTATGAAAAACTCTACACTTTTTTAATTGCTCAAAATTTCATTAGAGGTAAAGTTGATGAAGCTCTTTAAGTTAACTGACAATCAGTTCTTGATCATACAAATATATGTTGATGATATAATGTTTTGTGGATCACATGAAGTTCTAACTCAAGAGTCTGCAAAACACATGAATTCTAATTTTGAAATATCTATGCTAGGAGAGCTTAGATACTTTCTGGGCTTTCAAATTTATCAACAAAAGTCTGCCATTATCATTTCACAAGAAAAGTACTCTAGAGAGTTGGTTAAGAAATTCAATATGCTTGAGAGCAAACCTGTGTCTACTCCCATGTGTGTGAGTACTAAACTTACTCTAGATGAAAATGAAGAATCTGTTGATGCCACTCTATATAGATCCATAATAAGAAGCCAGCTTTATCTCACTGCATCTATACCAGATATTATGCATTCAGTAGCTCTAGTGGCCAGATTCCAGTCCAATCCCAAGGCCTCACACTTGCAAGCAGCTAAAAGAATACTAAAGTATATTATGGGCACCCTGTCTTATGGTCATCATGATAAATAAAGTAATTCTCATGAATTGTCTACTCAGATGCTGATTGGGGAGAGGTTCTATCCCAGATAGGAAAAGCACCACAGGCAGCTGTTACTTCCTAGGTAACAATCTAGTTTCTTGGCTTAGCGAGAAAGAAACAAGGTTCAGTAGCTTTATCAACTTCTGAAGCATAATATATTTCTGCAGCTCAGGCCTGTTCTCAAGTTCTGTGGATGAGAAATATCCTAACAGATTTAGGAGTTATTTTTCAAAATCCCAATATTATTCACTGTGATAATCAAAGGGCAGTTTCTATAAGCAAGAATTATGCACCTCATTGCAGAAGTAAACACATTGATATTAAATATCACTTCTTTATGTTCAAAAGGATATAATCTCTAATGATGCACAACTTGCTGATATTATTATGACAAAAGCTCTCTCAGCCACTAGATTTCACACACTAAGGGCAGCCCTAGGTGTTGTTGAAAAGGTCTAGTCACTGCTCCTTCACTCCCCTTTCTGATTTCACATTTCTGGTTTATGGAGCTATTTTTTAGGGGGAGTTTGTCTCAGCTCTTCTTGGTACATTTTTTTTCAGCATGTTCCCTTATCTTTCAATGAAAAAAAGGGGTCGAGTTTGTTAGTTTTTTCCCGTGTTATTAAAGGCTCAAGGTGCTAGAGGTCCTTTAGGGCCAAGGTGCGAGCCTGAGTGAAGCGAGGCACACAATTGAAAATTTAAACTACCATAAAAGCAGTCATATCTCGTAAGTCATATCAATATTCCAAAAATTAATACCAAATATAAAAAAGTAAATCCATCAACTATACAGGCATACAAGAACCATAAAACATAGCACAAATTTGTTTTCTTGAAAAGCAAAACATAGAACCAAAAAAAAAAAAAAAAACTGTTAACAAGAAAAGGGAAAAGTATATATATTAGAGCCAAAAAAAAAAAAACGCAGAGACAGAAGTAGATGAAGAGAGAAAGTGTTAAAGAAAAAAAGGATATAAAACGGAGCCCAAAAAAAAAAAGAAAAGGAGAACTAGACGAAGAGAGAGATGTAGACAAAGATGAGAAGAGAGGAGTAGAGGAGAATAGAGACAAGAAGAAGAAGAAGAAGAAGAAAGAACTGATGTGACTTCATCCTTCGTCATTGGTCTCACAGTCTCAGTCTTTCTCGGTTTGGTTGACCCTTTGACTCTTGGGCTTTCTTATTTGTTTATTCTTTTGAACAAAAATGTATTCTCTCCTGCGCTTGAGCTTTCTTATTTGTTTATTAAGTTGCCAAAAGTACCTTTTTGGCTTAAGAAATAGAATAATCATTTTTTTGAAAAAAAAAACATAATAATAAAAACAGTGAGGCGTGCCTGACAAATAGGACAAGGCGCAACCGAGGCACATGCCTAGTAAACATAAGTGCGCTTGGGATGACAATAGGCATAGACCTGCACCTTGAGCCTAGGCGCGCCTTTAACAACACTGGTTTTTACTACTGCTCTATTTGCTACTACTGTTCTTTTGTCAGGCAAATTTGATGGCTCAATTACTGTGTTTAAGTTTTGAGGTCTTGCCATTAAAAAAACAAAGGGGGAGATTCTTGATTCAGATAAAGCTCTGTTTGGTCCTATGCTTGCTTTGTTCTTTTGGTGGTCAAAACAAAATGGTTTTATCCCAACCCCAGCTTAATATGTGCTTAGGGATTTTTTTTTTTTTTTGGGGGGGTGGGGAGGATTTCCTTTTGTAATTGAAATGTATACCATTTCTACTCTTAAAGAATCATCATCTAAGGGAAGCTTAGTGCTCTAGGTTATTTCAGTTATTGAAAGGGTTTTTATGTAATTTCGTGAGTCATTCATTTGAAAGGTTGTCACCAATGGCTAGTTCAAATTCTTATATTACCCCTAAAACTTATAACTATATAACTTCTCTTTGTTTCTAACAGATCTTTTCAGAAACTTTGAGAGACAAATTGTTATCATTCTTTGAAAGATTAAATTGACACTCTCAGAAAGATCAATAGAAGATTGAGGAAGCTTTCCAAATCACAAAACCCTCATTCAAATGGCGGTGCTCTGTACTGCAACTATAAATTGTTCTGCAAGTTCAATCTTCAAGAGCAAGACTTCTCTTCATCAAATGAAGCTGCTCATACATCAGAACATTGAATACTGTTGATATCTCTTTTTGTATCTTATAATTGCTGTTTAGTGGGTGAGACTCGGTGATATTTGTACAGTACCAACCAGTACTCTGTAGTGAATGTTGTGAGTGTACTGTTAGGTGCCATCTTTGATTGTAATGGTGAATCGCTAGTTGAACTACTGTCGTTTAGAATAAAGGAATTAAAGAGAGTTGAGTGTCCTTTACTCATAGTGCACCTTTGTTAAAGCGTAAAGGCTTCGTGGATGTTTCCCCTATTTTGGGGGGTTTTACCGTGTTACAAACATTTGTGTTGATTGTGTTCTAATTTAGTTGATTGATTCAGCTTGAAAGTTACATTCTTCTACAAGAAAGAAAATTAGATACGAACCAATTCACTCGCTCCCACCTTTCTTGGTTTCTTCGCCAAATTTATTAAATCCATCATATAAGAATATTGGGTCCACTCCATAGTCCATACAAGTAGTTTGTTTACAAGACATTTAATTCAAATGCATTTATGCATGTATTTTGATGAGTCCCACACCGCATGTCAAGATATAATTGGTTGGCGAAACCATGTCAGCAAAATGACATGGTATCACTAGGCGTACTGGGTATTTGACTTGTTAGCCTACTTTTATCTCTTTCTTAGAGTGGATTTTGACCTGACTAGACTGGATCCCATGAGTTTCTCTTTGAGGTTACTCACATAAAAATCTTGGTGTCTCCTTATGTTTATTTTACTTCATATTGCTTATGATTGGATGTGTTATGAGTAAGGCATGATGGTTTGATTGATTATTGAGAGTTGAGACTTAGTGTTATTTTTTCTTTTTACATTACTTCGTAATTTAGTTTAATCTAAAAAGTAGTTAAAAAAAATTAAGTTAAGATAACCAACAAGACCTATTCACCTTCCTTCTAGGTCTAGATCACGGACCTTGCGCATAATCTCTGTTAGAACCTAGGTTCCGGTCCTTACCCTATCACCTTCATTTTCACACCTACTTGTCTGGTACTTACTACAGCTATCAATATCCATTGATCAAGCTCCTAATTATGTAACTATGGTTAACTCAAAATAATGAGGCAATATCCACCACCAAATGATAGAACACAAATTCCATACTGAACCATTCATAATTTATAGACCAAAAGATAAGTTGTAAATTTCAGACAACGCCATCTGAAGAAAGATCTATAATCAAATTGCGGTAGAAAATTAGCAGTTCTATTTGGGGAAAACATATGAAACCAACTGGAAGTTATCAACAACAACAATAATAATTAATAATAATAATAATAATAATAATAATAATAATACGAACTGCTAGAACTAACACGAACAGTTTGTGATCATACTAACCGAGGTATTTCTAAACCATTTGGCACTATATTTACAATATAGAGAGGATCCAGATTTCCCACAGTGTGCTCCAACAACACGCCTACCTGCCAATTAGTGGAAACATGTGTGAAGACTACTAAAAGTAACATTTGGATAAACACTAATAATGTTTTCATGCGCATTTAATCTTCAAAATCTGTATATAACAATACCATTTCAGGTTTGTGAATACACTCGTTGATCAATTCTTCCCAAAGTTCATCATCGTGCTGCATACCCACAAATTCTATAGCCTGTACAAAGTTATGACACTTACCCATCACTACTAAAATTCAGAACAAGAATACAGAGAGAAAACCGTAAGGGATATATGAAAGATACCTCTTCTATATTCCCTAATTTATTTATGATAACTGAAAGGGCTTGTTTTGAATTTCCCATTCTGCCAAGGACGAAAACTTGCTCTCTCACTAGATTTTTTCTTACGCAAATCTCATACGCCTGAGATTAAATTTCAGGAATAATAATGTCAACACAAAATATAAATCATGGAAGATTATAATTTACCACCATTCACTCTGCAAACCTTCTCAAGTGTGTAATGCTGACTACTACGAAGAAAAGGAAGCAGCATCTTAGGATCATAGTCTGCATAAAGCTCCACCTGTTACAGTTAATAAACAGAAGCACAACTGTTAGATAATGCATGTAACATAACTGCACATAAATACAATTAAGTACACCAGACGAGCAATTTAGGAAGTGAAAATATAATGAAAGCTTAAGTAACACTAGCAGTGAATCGTGTAATGGATTAAATGAACAATGAAAAAGCGATATATCAGAAAATAAGAATCCTAATCAGATACCTAACTGATGAATGCATCTTGTAGAATAAATCAGGTGATAGAAAATCAGGTGCCAAGTGGCAAAACATTTGCAATACTTTCAAACCCAGATCAGAGGTCAAGCCAGCAGGAGAACAGCTCAATCCAACTGAATTTGAGCACTGATTGAACTGGATCACCCATGACATGAGAACTATTATGTCTAGCGTTTGCACACATACGTGTTTTGAAGTTGCAATCTAGATGGCAATGATTTTACCAAAGAGTTAATGCCTCACTAGGTGACCATCTGAATAAGCAACACATTACAACATTTGAGAGAGACTATGTCATCTCACTAAGCATCGCGACACGTCTAGTGCATCTGGCCCAAGACAGCACCATCTTTTACGACATTGTGTGAGACACCTTGCAGTACCACAATGTGTCACCTGAGAAATGTCATCCAACCATTATCATAAAAAAAGGAGTGCCTTCGCACTCTCCAGCCACTTAATCATGCACTTCCCCAAGTGTATTCTTCTTTCCTATGAAAACCCACTTGACCACTCAAGTCTCTCTCCCTTCAACAATCTAACATCACCCTAGTCTCTCTCCTTCACTCTCAAACCATAAATTAAACATATCACACCATTTATTACTTGCATTTCTCATAAAAAATAAAAAAATAAATTTAAAAAACAAACAAACAATTAAAAGGTGTTTTTGTATACATAATTGTCATATTGTTATATATTGTTAGAGTTTATTTCTATTATTCATCAAGGGCACTATTGTATTTTAGTCTACTTAATATATAATTGGTGAGAGGTGTGGGGCAACCCTAACTTTTGACTCTCACCTTTCACAGAACACTCTTCTCTTTTCCTCCTCTTCTTCTTCTTCTCTACTTCTACAAAGCCTAGTTTCTTCAACTCTAACTTGGTATCAGATCCAAATCAAGCCCAGAACTCATTCGCATTCAGTTGCTGCCCATAATCAGAAGAGGTTGACGTCAGCGTCCGCTGACTTCAGCATATTCAGGTCGAGGACCATACCAACTGGCTCGCTTGAATTTTCTGGTAATTATGGTGGAATTCTCATTGCATTTTGATGCTGCTTGAGGGTTGTTTTCCTTTTTCGGAATTTCAGCCCTATATTTTGTGATCTGAAGTCTTTTTTTTTTTTGGTTGACATCTCTTCAAAGGGTGTCATTTAAAGCTTAGAGAAGAATGCTTGGTGGCTGTGTGTTAATTCATTGCATTTGGCCAAAAGGGGTCTTGGCTGAGGCATTTTACAGGCTGTTGGTACTCCATGCATTTACAGGCTGTTGGTACTCCACACGAAATTCTCCATGTCTTCGTAGCCCACACTTCCATCTCCAACCACATCTCTGTTGAAGCTCCCCACAAGGCACGATTTGAGAATCGTCTTGCGTATGGTGGTACTGTGTTCGTCCATCTTGAGAACATGGCCTCTATTTGTGGTCACGCTCTCCACTTTTCCTTGCAGATCCAGACGAGGGAGCCTTGCAGCCTCAAGAAACGACAACCTCTGACCATCTCTCATTGAAGAGCCCAAGATAACCAGAAGAAAGAAGCAGAAAAACAGATCTCAAAAGACGCCGTAGTAGAAGACTGTAAATTGCAATAGGACCGAAGAGAAACAGAGGAACTCAAGAGAGAAGAGAGGAAAACAAAAAAACGTTGTTTAAAATTTGACCTTAAAAGTAACAGTAGTTTTAGGTTGTAGACTAATTTGTATATTTTTTATAGTTCAAGAGATTTTTGTCATGGTAGAGGGGTATTTGCAAAAAGTTGATAGTTTAAGGGGCTTTTTCACATTTTACCAAATGCAACAGAACAGCATACTATTAACAAGATAAATTTATTTTACATATCTCCCAAGCAGATGCAAAAGCAAAGTTGCAGAGACTGGTGCCTCACATTGAATGAACCAAATATCAATATGCCACTAATACACAAGACATGAAAACTTTGACCAAGACAATGATAACACTGACACGGTAAACAGTTTCTCATGATCTGAAAGACTATCAGTTCAACACAGGAGCAAATTTCAACATGAACAGATTTTTTTAACCATAATTGTGAAAGCTCATATAGTTCCAAATTAGAAGAAGGAAAACTTAACCCAACAGAACCCAGTGAATTCTGTCTAGAAGGTGCATTCAACAGTGGACCTCATAAGCATATTATTGATCATGATCCATTGCAGGTCAATTCATAAAAGCATCATTTCATGTTTATATAAGTGGTGCTTTCATCATTTCAACCCTATATTTATGAGAAACGAGATACAGATGACAAGCCTTTATGACCCGAACTCAGAGAAGATCAAGAAGTTAAACACAGAAAACCAACTATAATGTAAAAGGCATTGTATTATAAAATTTTAAGTCTCTTCTTCAAACCTGCATATCATGGAAATCCCTTCCAGCATGTGGATTAGCTTCAAATAGTGAATGCAGATATAGATGTAAAAAGTATCTGGAGTCACACTTATTCCCTGCAGCTAAAAGTTGCGAAACAACTTCAGGTGGAGTAATTAACTCCCTGTGCTGGATCAGCAATGGAACTGCGCGTTTGCAATCTAATGTCATCAGTTGAACAACCTGAAAATACATAGGCAATAGAACAAAGAGTCGTGTTAAACAAATCAGATTCAACAAATACTTCAAATATGAACAACTTGGAAGAATGAAAAATATTATGAGTTTTCAATTGTCATGATATTGAGAATTCTTTAGATATAGATATGACTTTGTTCTACTGATAATGAAAATATCAGTAAAACCACTCCAAAAGAACCATATAGCTTCACTAATACTTTCAACTGAACTGATAAAAATCATACCTTTTCACAAATTACTTCATGTAAGTCATGATTTTCGATGAATTCAAATATATCAGGCTTCATAAGCTGAAAAGCAAGGCAATAAAAACAATGATAAGAAGAAGGAATTCAAAACAGGGAATATAGCGACAACTTGCTTTCTCAAAGAACATCTTATGTGCTCATTTCATGG